AATGCATCTCCTCATAATATGTATAAAGAATTGATTTAATTGTTCCACTGTCTCAGCATTTGCATTTTGAACATTTTTCATCTTCTGGTTGTACTCTAGCTGAACAAACTTGGTCTAAGTTTCCCTGAAGTTTCTTTTAGTTCCTTCCCACAGCTCTAAGATCATGTGGTTAGGAGAATTGGCTAAACTTCCCGCAGGGGGTGTGTGTGCCCAGAGATAGACTGGCATCGTGGCCAGGTTGTTCCCCTGTCTTGTGCCCTGTGCTGGCTAGGATAGGCTCCTGGCCCATTGTGGCCCTCTCCAGAGTAAGTGGCATAGATGGATGAAATCCAAGTTGTAATTAATGCATCCATTCATCTTCCAACTGCTTATTCATTACTGGCTCATTGGGGGGAGCTTGGTTTCCCCAATGAAATTGTGTGGATATTACACAGGCAATAGCAGCCAGTTTTAACAATGCTTAACAATAACCCACTGCTATAGAGTGAAAGTTTCTGGATGACTACTTCATACTTACCATGCATAGGGTACATTTTGGTATACAAAACTTTGGTTCATTTTGTTTAAGCTTTTATCATGGACTGTGTAGGTCAGGGTGATGCAGCTCCAGTCCTGGAGAGTGTCAGCCCAGCACAGCTTAGTTCTTTCCCTGTTCCACTACACATGATTTAACTCAAGAAATATGTGGTAATTAGCCCAAAATGTGCAGGGCTGGGGCTCTCCAAGACCAGAGACTCCTGATGTAGGTAATGGGTGCCAGGAAATCATGCACATTTACATTTAACAGACACTTTTTCCCAAAGTGAAATACATGTGATAAAGATAGTATCTTACAAGAATGTTTAACTTATATTTAACTTTTGTAATAATTCAAGGAACAAATGACACATGTCAATACAATTAAAACTACCAGTGGTACTAGTTATTTTTAACTGTAGCTCAGTTTTCTGTAAATAGTTTCATGCTTGAAAATGACTTGAAATATTGATATCGTTCGTCATAATCAGAGTGACCTCCATAATCTTATCATAGAACAGATGTATTTATGCATATGACTAAATAATGCACCTCACGGTAGGTGTCAATGCCTGTGTCTATGTGGAGTCAGTCATTGGCAATTAACCTTTGTTGGCTAGTCTCACACTATTTCATCAAAAGGACACAGTGCCACTCACAGACTTGGGGGTATCAAAGCGGACACATAATAAATGAATGTCAGAGACAAAGGTGCTGGTGACAGTATCAGAGTTGAGTGAGTCATTGTGAAAATACCCCATTAGGAAGACAGTGAACTCCTTTGTTTCATTAAACAGATGTACCACACAGTGTGAAGTTACACTGAAGAACAGTCATGACTCCCAAAATACAGTCATTTTTTGGCTGAGAACCAGAAATTTGCAGATATACCAATTTGCAACATTTCAATTAAAACTGTTAAATGGATGTTTTTGACATAGAACTGTTCAGTTACAGTGGCAGTAACACAATTTAAAGAAACTGAAACACCGTGAAATAATGTGAACTGTATCGGAGTTGATTTTGGCTCACTTTAAAGTACATAGATCTATATGATTAAGATTAATATTGCCTTTATTGATCCCCAAGGGATACGAGGTACATACGCATTATGTTCAATCCCATATTTTTTTCCAGTAACTAGAAAAATATTTTAAATGTTTTTTCACAGGTTACTGAAAATAGTCCATTCAGTTGTGCTTCCCCACAAAGGTGTATTACATTTAATCAAAACATAGAAGAAAGATATTAACCAGAGGTGGAAAGTTTAGAAGGAACTTTCCACTTCTGGTCTTATCCTGGAGTAAAGCTGCTGCCCCCACATGACTCTGTAGCCCTGGACACCTTTGGTTCTATGCTGTTTTCATCAGACAGGAGAATTGTCAAGTTCACTCCAAAGAGACTAGGCTCAGACGATCACACTGCCACACGCAGTGATCTCTCTTCAGGCCCACGGCTGGCTGCCACAGACTCTCTGATCCTATCATCCCCTCTCATGTTTGGTCTCATTTGAATGTACCATTGGTACAGTGGTATTTCAGTCTTATAACAGTGAGTCATTAAAAGATTAGGGAAATTTTTCCTTGTTTTAAAGCATGAGAATTTGACCCATATGTTAAATATTGTCATCTCTGTAGATTAGAAAACATATTAAACCTAAACACAAAACTCATTTCAGTGGCCCAACCAGAAGAGATTCTTCCTGTTCTATAGCCAGTTTTGCCTTGATGGAAGTAGCTTGGATTCCAGTTATAAAATAATTTTTAACTTTTAAAATAATGCTTATTCATGCTTCTTTTTTTTTTTTTTAGTTTAGGCCGGATTATAGCCTTCAGGTGGAAATTATTCTGCATATTGAACCATAAATTCCGTTACTTCTTCATTGAATGGCATTATCATTCTCTGTTTTTTAATCTGTGTTCATTATACTCTAGTAATTTCTGAAAAAGGTGCCTAGGGGCCTTTGCATAATAAATGTCAATGTAAAAATCAGCTAGTCAATGCCATCGGTGCCTGAGATTAGTTTGTTTTAAGATTAAATAAACTCTTCAGTTCACTATTTTCCAATATACTAATATTAGACACTGCAGAAGATTAATATAATGTAATATTTGGCAGTTTATGGTCTCTTCTATATGCACAAATAATAAATTCAATCACTTTACAATTTATGCCATATTCCAGCAATATTTTAAATTTATTCTTGCTCAATGGGGACTGAGGTGCGATCACCAGGTAAATGACCCAGACTGTTAAATATTAATATTAATGTCAAGTACTACCTATTGTGATTATAATTGACCATAAAATTGGTCTTGATATTTGGTATCGTGTCATGGGTAGTCGTTCTTTCTGTCTGTTTGCACATTCTCCATTTCCCTGACACATGTTTTTTTTAACTGGTAAATCAATCAAGTGCAATAAATTACTCTCAGTGTGCAAAAATCTCAATACATGAATTTTACATATATCTTCAAACTATATAGAATTTAAATTGGTGATACACTACTGATACACTGATGTTTGTGATACACCACTAACACACTGATGGGCTCTTCTCTAGCATGCCTCATTTTCACTTTATACCTGCCAATAGATAGTGGGGATGAGTGGGTATATGCACTTTTGGTAACACTTTACTTAAGGCCATGTTCTTAGTAATTTATAAACACATTCATAATGTATTGTAATGCATCTGTAAAGTATTATAAACATGGCTATAAATATCTATTAAAAGACTTCACACATTATAGCCATTATTATTATGCATTATGACTTATGCCTTATGAAGCTCTCATTTATAATGCACTTGATACCTTTATCATGTATTATCAGTATGAAAGCATCCTTAATGCTAATACCGACCATTATAATGCATTGCATTGATATCTATAGTGCATTATAGGTGAGAGCTTCATAAAGCATTCATAATGTATAATACACATGGCTATAATGTGTTATGCCTTTTGATGAGTATTTATAGCCATGCTTAAAATGCTTTATGAGTGCATTATTAGTTGTTATGAATGTGTTTATATATATTACAAAAAACATGGCCTTAAGTGAAGTGTTACCTCACTTTCTTTAGGAAGAGATACTATGACACCATCCATTCGCATGATATCAAGGTTCTGACTGCTTCTAATTGGCTACTCTGCCGGTGAACAGACTGTGAGGTGACAGGCATTCTGCTTGACATGTGTCAGGACCCATAGTTTCAGCAAGCTCAGCTTTTCAGTGTTCAGTCTCCATCTTGAGTGCCAGACCTGCACACTATTGCATAGGTCACCTATGTTGTGTCCTTCCCAATGAAATAAAAAGCTGTTTTTCAGCCGTGCCCCTTAGCACTGTTTGCTGCCTAACAATAAGCCTGTCGCAGGATGACTGAAATGAGCTCAAGCTGCTTCTGCTGCCTCTTAAAATGATATTGTAGCAGAGGTTCCTTCTCTACCAGAAACCTTTTCTTTCACATCTGTTAATGGTTTCTGAACTGGAAATATTCAGCATGGTTTAATCTTAAAAGGGTTGTACGATTTACGATGTATTTATGTTTTCTTACTAGAAGGCACTAGCTGAATTTGGTTTCACATCAGCTTACTTTTTCTGTCCTCTATGTTTTAAAAGTACCAACTTTATGCAGAAATGTTCTGCATACTTTTAAAAACAAGATTCCTTAATTGACATATCTATATGCTTTACAATTAATTGAATAAATACGGTTAGTTCTGTCCCTCACTTCAGGAGGAAAATGACGAGACAATAACATACAATAGCACATTTTCATTTGCTTAGCTATCCACAGGACAGAAATGTCAGCAGCAACAACAAAAAAGTCATCTAAATTGCAGCATGAAATTAAACTATCAAACAATTGATATGACAGCTGTCATAGGCTTATATGCAAAAAGTAACATAAAACTTCAACAAATGACATCATATCATCAAATGCTGCCTTTGGTTTAGGTTACACCTAGCTATGCTTGGGCAGTATTTCATTTTTACCATAATACTGTCCATACATTCCACTGCGGTATAATGCTATCCATTCACCGAGAAGAGTAGGGGTCCCACAATAAAAACTGCCAGCAAAATCCCAGACTGCGCTTTTCAGGTTTTTGGGAATTACTGTATTGCCACATTCTTCTTCTAACACAGATATTATGTCACTAGCTAGTGTAGGCTAGTGTCAGTCATTTTAGATTAATTAATTTTAAGTGAATTAATTTAAAACAGTCTGTCCCCAGTGGTAGATCCCATATTCTATGGTGTGCAGTGCTGAAAATGAAAAAAGTGTAAATGTGCAAATAGATGAATACATCTATTGAATACATGATCAATGTACAGCAGATAAAAATTTATAATAAAACTATAGGGGTTAACCCATCTGAACACTGAAGCTGATTACCTCAAGCCCTCAAGTGAATACTAATTTACACAAATTGTAATTGGTGTTAAATGACATTCTATTCTTTCTTTTTGTATAGTCCATCCGAGAGGTGACAGGCTATGTTCTGGTGGCACTGAACCAGTTTGAGTACTTGCCTTTGGAGAACCTGCGCATCATACGGGGCACCAAGTTGTATGAGGACCGTTACTCCCTGGCCATCTTCCTCAATTATCGCCGAGATGGCAACTTTGGCCTGAGACAGCTGGGTCTCAAGAACCTCACAGGTGGGTCGGCTCTGCCAGCTGCTTTCCTTCCTTCTCATGCCAGTTTGCTCTTGCAATTGCATTAAATGACTCAAATGATATTAAATGATTCACATGAGCCTTATTACAATTGAGCCATTGTTTTTTTGGCTTGAATTAGTTGTTTTTTGGTGGGTTAGAAATATAGCACACAGCTCCAGAGTTGTTGGCTTGATTGTGTGCATTCCATTCAAGGTGTCCCCCTGCATTGTGCTCTGTGCTATCAGTGAGAACATCCCAGACCTGCCATCCTGTACTGGATAAGCAGTTGAAAAATCGACTATGAAAATATACAACAAACAAACGAAAACTTTGTAGCGTGTTGGAAAGTATTATGCACACATAAAATGCTATCATGGCTTCAGTTTTGCAGTGAGTGCTAATTCTGGAGAGGCTTGTAATGCAGTGGAAAGGATGCTACTCCCTCCAGCAGTGCATGTGGAATAAAGGGACTGCTCCCCCGACAGGAGATTCTTTGCTTTCATGTTCTCCAATTATTAACTGTAGTTTAACATTTTCCAGGAATATCAATGAATCTTTCTTTGCTATCATCTAACCCTTTAATAGCATCTTTTTTCATTGGAGACTAAGATAATGCTGCTGTGAATTGCAGACGCTGTTGCCGCTTTAATTATAAAGCAATAGCTTGTCATTATACAGATATTTTCACTTGCTTTAGACACCAATGTGCAAGGCATTTTTCCCCATTACAGTGTGCTGCTGTTTTGGTGTTTCTTCTTATGCATAAGTAGTTAATAGCACCATCCCTAGGGCGAGAGCAATCTTTACACATTATATACAGGGCTAAAATTCAGTACCTGTGGGTGATGTTGATTTGGTAATGAAACAAAAACATTACCACATAGTACTCACCGACAAGAGCCGAAACAGCACTTTCCGTTCTTTGAAAGGCCAAAAAGTTTCCTAAAGATCTCTTTCTGGGAGTTAATGTGCCGTGGGCCCCAGGGGACTTTATGAATGAGATTGAAATGATATTGAGCATGGATTGGCCCGATTTTATGGTAACTGAATGCACTACAGAGGGCAGCTTTTGCAGGATTATTTCAAGATCACCCACCTACACTGATGTTCTGAGCAGATGTCCTTAATTTACTCTGGACCCAAAAAGTATGGCTTACTAAACACAAGAATGGGGCACCTGTTTTGTGGCACCACTGTTTTTGTATTTGCCCTAGCTGGGGGTCCTAAAATGCATACTGGCATTTCCTAGGCTAGGGACAAGTTAAATTTCTGGCTGGTTTCAACAGCCGATCATATCGAAAACTGACACCAATACTGATTGTTTGGGAGGTTTTGCTTAAATAGTTTAAAGTGACACTCCACCCAAATAAATTAAAAAAACAAATATATTACATTACAACAATATGGAAAAGTATTTACTTTTTGCTAAGAAAATACCAACTCTAGCAAACAACAGTCCCAGAGAACTATATTTTTGCACTGTCTGTGTTGAATTTTGTTTTGCTGTCAAATGCTTGCATTACTGACGGACTAGTGTTAATCGGCAGAACTGCAACCTTCCTTATTGGAATGGTTTTGTGTTTCATAAACTCTTCTTACTCTTGACTGTCTCAGGAGAGCAATCAAATTTGTTGTGTTGAAATGTTTGTAAGCTAGTTCTTCCTCATGAAACTTTAAAAGAGCAATGTTTGTAAAATGGGTTTCAAATGACGTTAAAATAATTCCACACAGCAGACATTTTTTGTGACGGTTTAGTGTGCAGGTGTGCAATGTAATATGGGTCACTATTTGAAAGGGAATTATCAGCAGTAAATATCGACTCATTTTTAACCATTGGCCAATGACTGATTGTTGCTGTATTGGCCGATACCATCAGTGCATCTCTATTCATAATGGGCTTCACCAGTAGACTTTCAATGTTCTGTACCTCAGTAGATATGAAAACTCATTTGTTTCTGTAAAGCTCTGAAATATTTCGGTAAAATATACATTGGTATATATGAATTTTATTTAAGTATCTTTTTGAAGTATCTATTTGAAAACAAATATTTCTCAAGCTATGATGTGAGTAATGTAACAAATCACAGTATAAGTCTCTGGGTATTTTTACAGGAAGTGTGAGATAAGCACTTTTTTCTTATAGTGTTCCTTGTCTTGAGGGCAATTAAAGCAAGATCATCCAGAAGAATGCAGAACTCATGCAATAAATGAACAATTGATTGTAACCAGATTATTTAACCCCTGGTTGATCCTCGTGTACCAAATATTTCATGTTATGCTTAAGAGCACTGAGCACTCCATGGATCATCCTAAATAAAATCAACTCTAGAAACACTATGTTTAGCACAGTGGCTGCAGTGTGAGTGACAAAATACCACTAAGGAAACTTTGAAGTGACAAGTCTTTTGGAATAAGGCCTGCTGGGCACAGAACAGTCTGCCTTCTCCTGGGTTTTGTCAGTTTGGTTAGTTTTATGGAAAGACAGACTCACAGACTTAAAAAAGAATTCAGAGAACTTGCTAAGAAACAGAAAAAAAAAATAATGTGAAGAGATGGATAGAAGAATACTGGCTGTATTCTAGGAAGACGTGGATAGTTGAAGAGCTGAGTCTGTGAATATTGTATTGGTTTAAACACTGCTTATCTTGGCCAGGGTCTTGAGGGGGCCAGGGGTCTCTCCCATGGGGCATAGGGCACAAGGAAGCAGAATATTCTGGAAGGGAAGCCAGTCCTCTGTAATCATTTATGCAACCAGTAACAGTTTAAAATTTAAATGTTTTTCATGCAAACTTTGTTAGATTATCAACAAGTTCCGGAGTCACACTTTAAGAAATAATCAGGTACAGTCAAAAGTAAAACATTGATCCATCTATATAAGTGGACACCTTAGCCAGGATACCTATTATCATTAATATTCAGTAAAGTACAACCAGTCAGTCCAATTTCAAATAATACCCCAGGGTATGACATTGTTTAATGCTGCCACTCATCAGACTGTTCTTTAAAATTGATACAGTACATCAATTTATTATTGTCTTCCCTGAGGTACCTAAAGATTAGCAACTTATTAGAAGGACTGCAGTTTCAGAACTGCAGATAAATTTTGACAGTATATTGCAAAACATCAGATTCTTGCAATAAAGGTTTAACTCAGGAGAACTGCAGTATGTTATGCTGTTATGGTAGGTGTGGTCTCTTCTTATGACAGCATAAGAGATAAAGTTCTGCTGTCTGATATTCTTGGATGCTTACGTATGCAACAAGGAGCATTGCTGCTGGGATCTTTACACTAATGAAAAGCGAGACTTTGTACTTCCTCACGCCCTACTTCATACTTTTGTGGCAATTTTTGTCGATCAGTTTGGTGATCTGAATTTGATTATGGTGATAAAAGCAAAGTTGAGACAGAGTGCCTAATGTGGCGGGGTCAAGCTAAATAAAAGAATGTAGGCAACAGTGGGTAAATGAACATCAGCCTTGGGGAGGCTGTGTTTACTAGAAAACAATCCCAGAGGGAGGGGGTAAGTCACCAACTGTAGGGATCTCTAAGAGAAAACACCAGGTGGGGTGAAAAACATAACAGAAAGATCAAGCAATAATGAAAAACCATCACTCCAGTTATAGCAATTATGGCACATAATCCAGGCAGTAGATTTCAGATCTACCTCTCAGTTCTCTTCAGGGAGACTGTGATGCCGTACGAGTGGCAGCAGCTGGTGTGATCATATCATTGTGGGTGGGGCTTGGCAGGCGTGTGCTGGCCGGCTGTCCGAAACACTGCATCCTGAAATTTGACAGGTGGTTCCTGTCCCATGTGCTGCACCAAGCGGCATGTGTGCGCATCCCAGAGATTGTGACATAGCATTTCTTTTTAATAAACTACAAGGTTGTAAAGTCAGTTGTGGAACTTGAAATTGTTATTGGGAGCTTTTTGTTACTCCATATTATAGTTTCGTCTCCCCGATCTCCGCCAACTTCTTCTGCTTGAGTTTCATGATTTCTGTGATATCCGATTGAATGGACAGTAAGACCAGCAGAATGGTAGCAGGACAGATGGGACAGCTCAGCTTGGGTGTTACATTTGAGATTTTTTTGGACGGTGTGTGGCTCTGCAGGTTAGGAGAGATTTGTGTCCGACTGGGTAGTTGCTGTGAAATGGCTGACAGGGTGATTTTACTGTTGCGTATCCAAATACAGTAAGAACCAAAAAAAAAAAATAACCCAATTGATCTTGGGACACTGATTGACCATGCCTTCTGATCCATACTTGTTGGTTACTTTTATGGTGTATGTTAAATTAATGTAAATGTTTGTGTTTTATGAGAAAAAATCTTGATGGTATATTTGGGAAAAAAAAATTTTTGCCTTATGGTTCCCTAGTCTAATTTCCCTTGCAAACTACTTATTTAGCCTATGTTGGTTCAATTGATTAAAGAGCATCAGAACAAATAAGGTTAGCATTGTCCCTGTTCCAAAGATTATATTGCCATAGACAGTGTCACATTGTGGGCAAGGACAGAGGCAAATACAGGCATCAAGGGAAAGCAAAAGGGGGCTTTATTAAAAGAAAGGACCACAAGGGGTCAACATGGGGAGATGAGGATCAGGCGTGAGTTCAGGGCACAGGACTCACTCAGGATCACAAGCAGGCAGTACCATCAATGGGTGGACTGGGGAGCTCATGCCCAGGATCAGGACAAGGTACAGAACACTAAGGAGTAAGAGTTACCCTGGGTTGGTCTAGGGACAACCAGTAGGAAATGACACACCAGGGCAGGGCCACAGATGAGTGATAACACGAGACAAGGCATGTTGCCTGGACCGAGGGAAGACAAGACTGTTACCAGGGCCAAGAAGAGAACATGAGCAATGCAAGGAACTGTATGGACAGCAACCCGACAGGACAAGACCACACAGGAGAAGAGAAATGGACCACAACAGGGTAAGGGAGAACTTGGACGAAAACACAATGAAACACCATAGGGACACAGAGTGCACACCAGGGAAAACATGACACTCAGACCGGGGCATAGTGCCAACAGGAACCAAGCACAGGCAAGAAACAAAACAAGACAGGGAACCCTGGACACAACTGACACACAGATTAACATAGAGCAGACAAGGGGGTCATCAGGGCCAGGGACAGACAGAGAAGGGAGAACCATGGGCCTGGAGCGAGAAGAGGCAGGATAGGATAGGAAATTGGGGCAAGAACTGAGGCATGACTAAAGGGGAAAGTGTTTGACAGGAGACTCCCTGGACTCCGGGAAGCTGGGTGACACAGGGTGAAAGGGGCTGGGGAGCACTGATGGGACAGCCTGTGTATGTAACCTCCAGGGGCCGATCGGGCAGGAACCGGAGGCCCCACTGGCAGATGCTCTGGAGGGCACTGGGTCTGGATAGGAGCCAGTGGGACAGGGGAACAAGAGCGCTGTGGGAGCTGTAGGGTAGGGAAAGGGGGGTGTCACTGTGATTGTAGGGCTGGGGGGCACCAGTGGGACAGCGCTCGACGGGCACTTCGAGGCCTCACTAGGGCCAGGTACTCACGGAGCAGCGAAGGCCTCACCGAGACCAGGAGCTTGCAACTGAGCAGCCTCCTCTGGGCTGGGCACCAACAACTGAGTGGCGTGTCCGGGGCAGGATGTCAACTACGCCCTACCCTTCAGCCTCCGCTTTAAGTGGCGGGAGCTAACAGGGGGCTTTGGGAAGCCAGCAGGCAGATCAGCAGCAAACTGTGGAGAGCCAGGCACAGTGGATGTCTGATGGGGCTCAGACAGGACCTCAGGAGATGGATGGGGCTGAGTCTCCTCTGGACACGGGCAGGGAAATTCAGTAGTCAGGTGGAGCTCCAACGCTTCTGGACACAGGCAGGGCACAGTGGCAAGTCTCCTGGGCAGGGCATGGTGGCCTTGTGCCCTGCTATGGCAGGAAGAGCTGCGGAGAAATGCAAGCCCCCCCGCAGAAGCCTCAGTGGCTGGCTGTGAATAATCAGCAGGCACATCCTCAGACACCTCAAGAGATGGGCAGGACATGGACACCCTGCGCTCAATTATTTTCTGTAGCTCATCCAGCAGATCTCCATCACCTCTTGGGGGTCCTAACCAGGGTTGAGCATGGATGCCTGAACAGCTCTAACTGGGCAAAATCTGGCACTTCAGGGATCCTCCATACCACTGGGTTTCCCCTCAGCTTCAGGGTCAAGGAGGGTGAAGAAATCCCTGCCTGAAGAAAGGGCTTCTCCCTGGGACATTGCAACCCCCTCAGTCTCCAGGGCACTCGGAGTATCTGGTCTGCCAGATGAATAGATAGGCATAAGCCAGAGTGCGGATGCAGGCTGCTGGGGTTTTTAGGGAGTTCAGTCATTCAAACATGTCGTGAGCAAGGGCAGAGGCAAAGACAGACATCAGAGGAAAGCAAAAAGGGGCTTTATTAAAAGAAAGCACAACGCAGACAAGGCAAAATCAAAAGGTACACAAGGGGTCAACACAGTGAAATGAGGATCAGCCAGGAGACCAAGGCGCAGGACACCCTCAGGAGCACAAAGCAGGCAGCAACATCAATGACTGGACTGGGGGAGCTCAAAACCGGGAGGCACTTTATACATCACTAATGAGGGAGCAGATGAGGGACAGCTGGAGTGAGGCACACGAGGTCTGAAATGAGAGGTAAGACAAAATTAGTAAAGGGTGTGGCTCAGAGCCACACTGGGAAAAGAACGAGAGGGCAGAAACGCAGGGTGTGACAAAGGATATAGCCTTTTTATAATAAAAGAATAAAAAAAAAATGTAAAAAAAAAATAAAAAAATTATATAAAAACAGAATTAATGTGACATGCACCCATTTGCTTAAATGGTAATTCATTTGAATTATTCTTGGCAAAATGTGCAAACAATGTGGAATCGTTCCAAAATACAGAACACACACACAAAACCGTGAAAAAAAATTGAGACCACAGTGCAACTTTTTGTTTCACTCATTTCTCAATATATGGGTGTGCATCTGTGAATAATATACATGTGAGGGACCAAGCGGTAAGGCAACACAAACACAGGAGCTTGACTAAAGAATTTAGGGCTTTGATCCCCAAAAAATAATAGGCAAAACTCAAGACCTTAATAACAGGGCTCATAAGAGGTCAAAAAAAAACAACAAAACTTAATATCACAAAGCAAGATATTAACTGAAACAAACTGACCTTCCTATAAGGAGACATGAGGGAACATATATAGTAGTTTGGCCAAACCAGTTAACACACAAAAGGGGTAAACCAAATGAACACTCACCTAAAGGATTATTAGGAACACCTGTTCATTTTCTCATTAATGCAATTATCTGATCAACCAATCACATGGCAGTTGCTTCAATGCATTTAGGGGTGTGGTCCTAGTCAAGACAATCTCCAGAACTCCAAACTGAATGTCAGAATGGGAAAGAAAGGTGATTTAAGCAATTTTGAGCGTGGCATGGTTGTTGGTGCCAGACGGGCCGGTCTGAGTAT